TAGGGAGCATGTCTGGCAACCTTTCTTTCTTCAGTTAAATCGTTTTCGTATTAGCAAAATAGTATCTCAAGACAAGCAGATTGGAAATGGACAAGCCATACCAAAGCACATACATAGAACCTGCAAGTTTCTCATATCTTTCCCCATGACAACCACCATCCACGTTGTTGAGACCAGGCTAGGCCCTATTCTAAGGTACTCCATATTGTACAAAAAACATATATGTAAGTATTTTGCCTGCATACATGTATGTGCACCACATGCATGCCTTCCTGATGCCCTTGGAGGTAGAAAGGGATGTTAGATCCTGTGGGAGCCCATTTTCAGGTTCCTCGTGGCTTTACCCAGCAGATCTGCATAGAGAGGATGATTAGACCATGGGCCTGAGTGCAGGTGTCTGAGATGGTCTGCATTTGGTGGTGCTGGGGGGAGGTCTTTTGCTCCACCCCTTGGCATTTCTATAAGTACTCAAGGCAGAGACAGTCGGGGCCTGTTGGAATAGGTTCCAGGCCCTCTCGAGGCTGTCCTGTATTTTCTATCTGTTTAGTTCCACAATCTAAACCCTTCTATCTAATATTTCCTGCTGCTCGCACTCAAGAAAACTCTGGGGAACTGTGGGGTTGGTGGGTAGCCGCCCCGCAGGATCCCCTGGAACTGGAGTTACAGATGGTTGTGAGCCACCACATAGGTGCTGGGAATTGAACCCAGGTTCTTTCCAAGAACAAGTAAGTGTTCTTAACTGCTAAGCTCCATGACATATATCTTTGTGTGTACATCTTTCCAGATTTTTTCCCATGTAAACACAAGTGTGTTTTTTTTCCTGTCCTTCTTTCCTCAATAAAGACGATATTTTATTAGTTGTATTGTCTTGTACATTCCCAATGTGTCATGGACGATCCTACCTCAGTATATATGGGCTCATCTTTTCAGTGACTGCTCAGTCCTTGTCATCTTTGATTTCTACATCATTTGAGTCCTGCTGACTTGTTCTCTTCTCATTTACCCATACTTTCTCTAGGTGTCATTTGCTTCTCAGAATTTGTCACAGATGACTGCCCCTGAAGGTTTTACCTGGGCCTTCTCGTCTTACTCTACCAGCTCTCTATGGGGAGTCCAGCTGCCTCTGCGGCTTCAGCTAGTACCCCTGGTCAATGTCCTTAGCACCTTATCTTCCCAGCTTTTCTCCTAAGCCCCAACATTGTATGTAACGATCACCTGCAGTCTCCCTTAAGTTCTCCAGATGCTGCAAACTCAAAATGTACAACACTCTAGAGCAGTGGTTCTCAACCTTCCTAACGCTGCGACCCTTTAATTACAGTTCCTCATGTTGTGGTGACCCCACCCCTCCCCAACCATAAAATTATTTCCTTGCTTCTTCATGACTGTAGTTTTGCTACTGTTATGGATTGTAATGTATATATCTGATATGGAGGCTATCTGATATGTGACCCCTGGGAAAGGGTCATTTGACCCCCCCCCCCCCCGCCCTCCCTGACACCCGTGTTTTCCCTCTGGCCTGTTCTGTCACCTACTCCTCTGCCCCAGCTGGCGACATGTATGCCCTCATCTCAGCTCCCCCCCCGCCACTTCCTCTCCTTTCCTCTTGACTATCTTCTCTACATCACCTTCACTGACAGTGTTAGGCAATGCTGCATCCTCTCTCCTAAACTACACCAGTAGTTATGCAACAGTTGTGGGGGCCAGAGCCAAGCTAACTGGTGAAAAATCTACAGCCAGCAATCCGGTCTCACCGGGTCTTGGTTCTGCCATTCACAGAATGTGCACAGTGGGAACACCTACTGCGCATGGGTGTTCCAGGGACCAGAGGAGTCTCTACGAAGCATCTAGAGTGATGTTCAGCTCCTCCTCCTCCTCTTCCTGTCTCCTTGCTTCCTACATTATGGCTTCCTACCTCAAGTCTTTCTCTTCAACCCACCATACATCCTGCTGCCAGACAGATCTTCCCAAAATGTAATGATGCTCACTTCACATGCCTCTTAGAAACCTTTAAGAACCCTCCACAGCCTCAGATGAAGTCAGCCCTGATGTGGACACTTGATACCCTTGTGGCTGACCCCGGTTACTTCTGGCTATCTCTTGAACTCTAACCTCTGAGAACCCTGTGCAGCTAGCTCCCTAGGGGTTACTCTGTTTCTATGGGGTCCGTGGTGTTCACTCCCTTTCCTTGGATACGCTTCAAACCCTCTGATGGGATTCTCCTTTTGGTTGCCACGTTCGGTCCAGGTTTTGTGATCCATCATCTGGCTGTTTATCCCTTTGCATCTTATATGTTTGGTTGTGAGCCTAGCCTTTAACAGCTGAGCCATCTCTCCAGCCCATCCCTTTGCGTCTTGAAAGCAGAGGTTTGTGAGTTTGTCTCTGGCTTCCCAAACGAGTCACAGTGGGATGAGTGTCACGAGTGCTTCGTGCATTTTTGGTGGACACTGCTAAACTGATAAAGTTTGGGGGGAACTGATGGACACGAGAACATCCCACGGTTTGAAGAACTATGCGATGTGGTCCAAACCTCTCAGAGCCCCACCAGCCTGGCAGCACAAATGACGTCCCATCAGAAGGGGCAACGCTGCCCTCGTCAGCTCAGACACTGGCTCTGGCCCCTGCAGAGGGCAGCTCAGTGATCTGGGAGACTCATTGGAGGTATCTCCCGTGTGCCTCTGTGGGTGTGGCTGGGCAGGGTCCTTAAAGCCAGTGCTGGAGGACTGCCATCCTTGCAAGGCCAGGCTCTTGGGGTGGTCTGTTGTGACCACTGTCGAACTCTCCTTTGAAGGGTCCCCAAAGTCCAGGAAAACTTTCTAGTTTCTCCTCATCTCGTTTGCTGAAGAGATAGATGGGTGGGCTGTTCAGAAACAGTGCTGACCTGGAGGCCGGAACTCAGTATTGTTCTTCCTTTGCCCAAACAAGGGAGCTCAGGCTCAATCTCCCTCCCCATTCCTTGCCTTCGAATCCTTCCTAGAGAATTCTTTTCTAGATAATCTCCCGTTCTCTTAAAAACCGGCTTCTACCATTACTCCAACTTCCATCTGCTTATGAGGAAGGCCAAAATCCATGCTGGAATTCCTGCCAATAGGTTAAAGACTCTGCTCTGGTAAAACTACCTGCATCAGGCCAATCCCCAGAAAGGACCGCACTCTTTGAGGATGATTCTAGTACCTCCGTTGTTTGGGGGAGCCTCCTCTGTCCATCCCTTTGTGACTGCGTTTGCTGAGGACACGTACTGAGGGCACGTTCTACCCAGAGCACCAGGGCAGAAGCTCCGGTTGCTAAACTCTTACTCCACACAAAGGCAACAGGCTGCAATGCTAGGCAGCCAAGCCCCTCAGAGGCTGTCTCCAGGTTCTGGTCAGAGCCACAGCATTGCCCAAGCATTGCAGAGGCTCCAGCAGAGGGGACGGGACAGTGTGAACGCCAGTCTAGGGTTCGTAGTGTTCTCTAGCAGCTGGGGAGGGCAGCTAATTGCCTTGTTAGAGAGTGAGCCCGCATTTCTTCTGTAACAGGTTTCTCAGAAGTGCCACAATTAGTACCTAGTGAATGAACAACACAGTTTGCATAAGCTTTCTCAGAGACTTCCGGGGAAAACGCTGTTACTCAAGATCAACTCATCTACTGTCTTTATCATAGCGTCCAACTAAGTGAGTGCCAATGCTGAGTCACCAGGACTGAGCCCCTCCTTCTAGGTACTCACAGTGTGGAAGCCATCAAGTCACCATAACAACTGAAAGGGAAGGACAGAGAGCCCCATACCTATACCTCTTCTGCCCACCAAACCCAGATGCCCTGGAGAGCAGTTGGGAATCTCACATGTAGCTGGTAGGATAGTACAATACAAACTTCTTGGGAATATACAGGACACCTCCCCCTCCTCCTCCCCCCTCCCCGTATCCATAGGGTCTGCGTTCATAGTTTCTGCATTTACAGATTCAACTGACTGCAGGTTGAAAATATATTTGAAAAATTATGTCTATACTGGAGATGTTCAGACTTTTTCTTGTCATCATTTCCTACACATCACAGTAGAACACTGTTTACATTAGCATTTATACCATCTTAGGCACTTTCAGTAAGTAATCTGGAATTGGTTTAAAGTATGTGTGATGCTGTGCATTGGAGATTTCATATATATATATATATATATATATATATATATATATATATATATATATATATATATATATGGGACTTGAGTGTCTGGGAGATTGCTACCTGCAGAGATTTTGGTACCTGCAAGGGGATTCTGGTTTTTTTGTTTGTTTGTTTTGTTTTGTTTTTCAAGACAGGGTTTCTCTGTGTAGTTTTGGCTCCTGTCCTAGATCTCTCTTTGTAAGACCAGGCTGGCCTCGAACTCACAGAGATCCACCTGGCTCTGCCTCCCGAGCGCTGGAATTAATAAATCCTGACAGTGGGATAATAGAAAAGAACCACCGAGGCTGGCGACATGGCTCAGGGAGTAAAGACACTTCCTGCTGATCCTGATGATGCAAGTTTGATTTTTGGGACCCACGTGACAGGAGGGAAAAGACATCTCCAACAAGTTGTCCTCTGGCCTCCATGTGAATCATGAATGCTGCGTGCATTACACACACACACACACACACACACACACACACACACACACACACACACACTGTAGGAAAGAACTACAGGTATATGCAACACTTAAGACACAAATCTCAAACCAATTATGCCGAGTGGAGGCAGCCATGAAACATGAACTGTGCAATTTCATTTCTGCAAATTTCTAGAAAGGGCATGGGCTTCCTGGTGACGTGAGGCAGGGTCGGTGGTTGCCTCGGCATGGAGGAGGCAGGGGTTGAGGGAGGGTCGGTGGTTGCCTCGGCATGGAGGAGGCAGGGGTTGAGGGAGGGTGAGGAAGTTTTGGAGTTGATGCCTGTGTATGGAGATGGCTTCACAGATGTATATTAAAGTAAAAACTCATCAAATTTATGCAGTGTTTATTATACGTCAATAGCACCCCAGTAAATCTGTGAGAAATGAAACAAACCAATGATCCCTGAAGTAGACTGGAAAGGAAGATTGAAGAGCCCTGTGTATTTGGGTTCACTTCCTGCGGGTGGTGGGGGAGAGGAGTGTAGCTAGGAAACAGCTGGTCACGAACTCATTGTGCCTCAAGGGACTTTACAGAGAGTTCATAGCCTGTCTTCCTCACATCGGACACAAAGCTTCTAGAGCTGAGGCATGTTCCACTCAGCCCCTTCCACAGGAAAGGCAGAGCTAGGCTTATTTTCAGCCTGCCAGCTGTTCCCTTTACCCCTCACAGCAGTGCTGGTGCCTCAGCTCTCCAGCTTCCAGAAGAAAACAGTGGTCAGACTTCAGGGAGGGAGGGAGGGAACTGCGGGGGCGGGGAGGTGGGGGGAGATCTTAGGCTCCTCTTGCGATCTTGGTCAGGTGACCTGGATTTCCTCCCGCTGGGCACAGGCTGGGCAGCACTGTTCTCTCTTCTTGTAGTGTACGGAGCAGGCATGGCAGACAAAGCTTCCGCAGAGCCTGGGGAGCGGAGACAGGGAAGCCTGGGCTGGCTTCTAGGGGAGCACCTGCCGGTCCTCCTGGTCTGCCAGGGCAGCCTTTGGCTAGCTCAGGATGCTTCTCTTTTCCCACAGGCTGTATTGATATCTGACTCCAGAGCATCTATCTCCTGATGGTTGGTTTCCTCCTCCTGCTCGTCCTCCCCACGAAGTCAGTGGAGGGGGTGGGCATTCTTCTTGCACAGGGATGCAGGGACCCTCTCCCTAGACAGAAGCCCAGCGGGGCGTTCTGGGAGGTTACTGGCCTCATCTTCCAGGACCTTCCCTCCTTTGTGGCCCTGCCCAGTGTTCCCTTTCAGGAGTCTGCTTAGCAGCAGTAGCCAGATGGGGTGACCCATGTGGACAGGCTCAAGTGACTCTTTATAAACACCCATTTCCCGTTGCCCTAGCACGACGGTGAACGTCTGTAATGTCATTGTGCAGGAGTGATTGAGTCAGGAAGATCATAAGTTGGAGTTCCTCCTGGGTCACATAATGAGTTACAGGCCAGCCTGGGGTACATCACGAGACCCTATCTCAAAATAACCAACTAAACCACGGCTGATGAGATGGCTCGGTGGGTAAAGGCACTTGTTACCGAACGGGATGACCTGAGTTTGATCCCTGGAACCCACATGGTAGGAGAGGGGACCAACTTCTGCGAGTTGTTTTCTGACTTCCACACATGTGCTGCTGAGGCACATGTGTGCACGCACACACACACACACACACACACACACACACACACACACTCTGAAATAAATGCTAAAAAAGAAAGTTCTTAACACCCAAACAAATCAAACAAAACCAGGCGTGGCCCTTCCCTTGGTCCTTCCTTCCCTGGGCAGACCAGGGTCTGCGGGTGGTCCCAGGCTCTGGGCCTTCCCCATTACCTGCAAGGGTACCGCCGGGACAGACGCCTGAAGACCTTGCTGCAGCCCACGCAGTGTCCGGGGGCCACAGCCGACAGCTGCTGCAGCCTCTGCCACTGGTGGTCCTTCTCGCTGATGGACGGATGGGGCGGAGGGGGAGACAGAGAGAGGGGAAGAGGGGGGAGGGGAGGTGGTGATGGAGGAGATGGCCTCTCACATTGGCCTGCAGCTTGCCAAGTAGAGTCCATTAGATCTGGCTGTCTTTGCTTCCTGAGCACGGAGGTTGATTACATGGGTTTAGGGGACTGAATTCTAGTCCTTACGTTTGCATGATAAGCACTTCACTGACTGACCTAGCTCCGGAGCCCTCTTCAGTGGTGTGTGTGTGTGTGTGTGTGTGTGTGTGTGTGTGTGTGTGTTATTGTTCGTATGCACACATGCAGACAAAACACTCATATACATGAATAAATATTAAGAAATTAAATAGGGGCTTGTGTGACGGCTCAACGGGTAAAAAGTACTAGATGCGTAAGTCCAGCAGCCTCGGTCTGATTGCTGGAGTCCTCATAAAAGTAGAAAGGAGAGGGTGGACTACACAAAGTTGTCCTCTGACACATGTGCCCCCCTACCATGCATGTACACGCAAACACACAGTAATAAATACAAAGTGTTTAAGCAGAAATCAAACGGTGCAGAAGGGTTTATATAAAAAGCCTGGTCATCCTCCTGCTCCTTCCTTTTCCAGTGATAAACCGTTTCTCCTTGGTATTCACCAAGGTAAACACTCCTCCGCAACGGTTTCTCCTTGGTGGTCCTTCCCATATTTGAGTAACAGGCTCACAGACTTCCTTTGATAGAAAATGTTCTCTACGGAGTTCCTTCGCTGGATCGTGGAGGACTCATCTTATTTGTTACCGTCCCCACCAACTTCTCCTTCCTCCCAGTGCGGTCAGGTCCCTAGTTTGGGTTCCTCTGTCAGTTACTCCTGTCAATGCACAGGATAGAATCCTATATTCTCCTTCTGTCAACCACGAGCAATACCTTGTGACTTCGATTCTGCCAGCCTCCCTTCACTTCAGTCACCCCACCCCCCCGCCCTCGCCCCCCACTTGTCATCTGCTAAAGCAAGCAGCTGTGGAAGCCACCAGCCATGAGTTTGCTTTCATATAAATCAAAGAGGAAAACTTCAGTTGTACCAGTTCAGTATCTTAAGTTTGCAACTTCTTCACGTGATTAGCAACCATCCTATTGCAAAGCACAAATGTGAGGCAGGTTCATCTTCACAGAACATGCTAGTTCAGTCTTTTCTATTATTTAATATTACATTCACATTCCATTTTGCGCATGTGAGTAAGCATGTGTGTGTGTGTGTGTGTGTGTGTGTGTGTGTGTGTGTGTGTGTGCGCTTTCATCTGTGGTGGATAGGTACACATGTCTGTGTATGTGCACATGCATGTGTGTGAAGGCCAGAAGTTGCCCTCCACCCTTTTTTGAAACAAGGTTTCTCACTGAATCTGGAGTTCACTGACGGGGCTACAATGGCTGGCTAATGAGCTCTGGGGATTTCCTGTGTATGCCTTTCCCAGAGCTGAGGGTACAGTTGCACACTGCCATGCCTAGATTTAATACTGGGTGCTAGGGACTCTCAACTTGGGTGCTCATGCTTTTGTGGCAAGCACTTTTCCGACTGGCCATCTCCCCAGGTTCCACATTTTGTTTCATCATTCCAGTATTTTTTGAGACAGGGTTTCTCTGTGTAGCCCTGGTTATCCTAGAAGTCACTCTGTAGACCAGGCTGGCCTTGGCGCCTAGCACCAATACTGGATTCAATCCCCAGCAGCGCAAACACCAGACAAAATGAATAAGACAAATGAGTAGTATTTATGTTATTAGATAATATATATGTGTCCTAAATAAGTTGTGTTTTTAAAATCATATTGATTTATTTATTGTGCTCTGTGTGTGTATGTGTGTGTGTGTGTGTGTGTGTGTGTGTGTGTGTTGTGTGTGTGTACACATAGATACTACCATGTACACAAAGAGATCAGAGGACTCTCTGGACTTGGTTCTCTCCTCCCACCATGTAGGTCCCAGGATTTGAACTTGGCAGCAAGTACCTTTTCCTGCCGAGCCATCTTGCTAGCCCTATTATTCCTTTCTTGAAAGGCTGGGAGGCAGGATCTCTGACTGTATCTGCCCTTCAACCAGTGGCAATCCTCCTGCTTCAGTCTCCCTAATACTAGAGCTATAGGTGTGAGCCACACTCCTGGCCTTTCTGGAAGTTCCTAATTGTCTTCCTTTTAACTTTATTTTTAGTTTTATTATTATTTTATGTGTATGGGTGTTCAATGTCTGTGCACACATGTATGTAGGGCCCAAGGAGGGCAGAAGAAGGTGGCTAATCTTCTGGGACAGGAGTTACAGACTGCCTTTTGGGTGCTGGGAGTCAAACCTGGGTCTTCTAGATGAGCAGCCAGTGCTCTTAACCACTGAGCCATCTCTCCAGCCCTCCGAGTGTCTTTCTGGACTCACTGCATGACCTGCCTTTAAATTACTATTTTCCCTCTCATTATTATTATTATTATTATTATTATTATTATTATTATTATTATCACTACTACCACTGCCATCACTATTGTTCTTGACAGGTTGTTTCTATGTAGCCCAGGCTGGCCTTGAGCATGTGATTTTCCTCCCTCAGTTTTCCTTGTACTGGGAATTCAGGCATGCACCACTGTGCCAGACTTCCCCCAAATCCTTCACCACAGCAGGTATTCTGATTCTTCCACTCGTGTGCCACCTTGGCGATTCTCTTTTCTTTCTCCTAGGTGGAACTGTTGGTCCCTGAATTACATCTTCTCCTTTCTTTTCTTTTCTTTTTCTTTCTTTTTTTTTTTTTCTTTTTCGAGACAGGGTTTCTCTGTGTAGTTTTCTTTGCGCCTTTCCTGGGACTCACTCTGTAGTCCAGGCTGGCCTCGAACTCACAGAGATCTGCCTGCCTCTGCCTCTCAAGTGCTGGGATTAAAGGCGTGCGCCGCCGCCACCACCGCCTGGCTTACATCTTCTCCTTTCTTGGTGTACTTCTTTTTTTTTTTTTTTTTTTTTTTTTTTTTTTTTCTGGAGCACATCCTCAACAAGCTTCTTAAGAAAGGCTGTGTGGGAGTTGAATTTTCGGAGACCTGTCTGATTAATGGCCTGTGGCCATCACCTTAGTCATTCAACTTACGGTTTATCTGGACACGGAATTCTACTTCAAGAGTGGGCTTTTCTGAGAACTTGAGAATGATTACATCATAGACGCTGACACGTGGTGAGTCCCCCTATCCTTCTGTGCTTTGTGATTTCCTCCAGATAACTTGAAAATAATATTGCTCTTTGCTTTTCTGAAACTTCACAATGGCGTATCTAGGTAGGAACGGCAGTTTTCCCCTTTTGTTTACTGTGCTGAGCATTCAGTGAGCTCTAAAGACGGCAGTCTGACAGAGCCTGAAAATGCACATTTTTAACCTTTGGAATAACTTATTTGATAACCTGCTTAATTTTAGTTTCTTCTTTTTGGAAACCTCTGCCAGTTGGAGAGGGTATTAGGACTCCTAGGTGTGTGTGTGTGTGTGTGTGTGTGTGTGTGTGTGTGTGTGTGTGTGTGTGTGTGCAGGTGGGTGTACATACATTCGTGTGCATGCATGTGAAAGCCAGAGGTTGACACTGGGCATCTTCCTCATCTCCTGGGCATCTCCACCTTGTTTTTTGAGACAGCGTCTCTCACTGGACCCAGAGCTCAGCCATTTGGCTGGATCAGCTGGCCGGGAAGCCCCAGGGATCCTCTCGTGTTCATACCCCTAACACTGTTTATAGGCATGCTACTCCCAGCTTTTAGCGTCAATGCTAGGGATCTTAACTCTGGTCCTCATGATTATATGGCAAGCATTTACCCCCTGAACCGTCTTCCCACCCTCCCCCCTCCCCACTGATTTCTATGCCTCCATTTCTCTTGTTACTTACACCCGCTTTTATCCTGTTTTCTGGGAGCCTGCTTTTAATCAATTAATTAGTTAATTAATATTAATTATGTTAGTTAGTTTGTTCGTTTTGTTTTTTGAGACAGGGTTTCTTTGTGTAACAGCCCTGGCTGTCCTGGAACTCTGTAGACCAGGCTGGCCTCGAACTCACAGAGATCTGCCTGCCTCCGCCTCCCGAGTGCTGGGGTCAATGGTGTGCACCACCACCGCCCGGCTTATCTTTATTTTCTGATCCTTTTGGTGAATTAAACAAACCAACAATCATATGTTTTGTTTTGTCTCACTATAGCCCGGGCTGCTCTAGAACACACAAGCCTTCTGCCTCCACCTCCCCAGTGCTAGCAGGACAGGGCTGAGTGTGTGCACACACGTGTGGTCAGAGGACAGCTTTCAGGAGTTGGTTCTGTCCTTCCACCACAGGCTCTGGGGCTCTACTTCAGGTCATTAGGCTTGCGCGGCAAATGCCTTTATCTGCCCTTCTTAAATTATTTGCTGGCTTCCTCCAAGATGACCCTGTTCTCTTTTCATTGTTAATGTGTAAGTTTTATGCACGAGAATTTAGTTCTGGATGAGTCCAGCAATCTGCTCATTTGCATGGAACCTGAGACCAGTGGCGTTGGGTCTCCTGAGCTCCATGAAAGGAGTGCACATATGTGTGAGCGTCCATGTCCGTGCACACGTGTGTCTGGTATCTCCCTACCTGACCGAAGGGCGAGTGTGCTTTACATGTCTCCCCCATCTCAGTGGGCTTGGAGGCTTGAAATAAACCCTGGTGAGCTCAGCTCTGGCACCTAGAACAGCTGCCCCAGGCTCGACCCACAGGCCCAGAGGCTTAAGGAAGTCCAGTAGGCAGGTAGGTGTAGGCATGTGGCCATGTTGTGGTATTCTACATTTCTCTCTCTCCTTTGAGTCCCTTCTAAACTCATGAGCAAGAAGGGATGGGATCTCTTCTGACCAGGATGGAAAACAGAGGGCAGCTCTTGAGGTGAGACCATCATTATTGTCAGAAAACGCTGTGGTTTATATGCTGTCTTTAGTGGCCAAGCCAGCACTGACCCTGAGTTTCCTCCTCTTTAACATGCGACATGTAATTAGTGATAGTTTGAGCTCACTAACAGAAGCAAACAGGTTCGCATATGAAAGGTCTAGAACCTGAGAGTTGCTAGTGGTGTGGTCTTCCAGCCCGGCTTCCACAGTCCTTACCACTCCTCCTTTCTACCCCAGCTCCCAGCCCCATTCTTACTGAATCAGTTCCAGCACCCTCCTTTTCATGGCCCGGACCAGGTCCCTCTGCCCTTCGAGCTCCTTCTCATACATGGCGTCCCTCCTCTCAGCTTCCTGCTGCGTCTGCTCCAGCATCACTTGCAAATGGGCTCTTTCTGCCTGACACCTGGGAACAGGAGACTCAGTTTTAGGAGAAAGGCTCAGAACCTGTGACGGGAGTCCCTGGAGAAAAGCCAGTCTACAGATAGGTACAGTGTCTACATACACAAACGTACAGAGGCGCCTAACACACATACATTATACTCCACATGTACTACATATTGCACACACTACCAACACCCACCACCATTCTGCAGTGCTCGCGCGCATACACACACACACACACACACACACACCAATAAACGTGCATACCACACACCAAACTGAGCACCTATGACAGATTCAGCGACTGTAGAGAAACAGTAACAGGGCCTAACCACGAGTGTTCCTGTAGAGGGCGCTACTGATCATTTCCTTCCCACCTTCCTGCCTTTCCTCTTCCTCTCTCTCCCTCTCCCTCCCTCCTGCCTTCTTTCTTTCCCTCCCTTCCTTTTAACATTTCCACTTTAAAATGTAACTCTCTGGAAAGGTATGTTTATGGGAGGCCTGTCTGGAAGGGGGGGTGACTGCCTAGCAATCTCGTCAGGGAACACTCTGACCAACTGGGAACAACTGCATGTGGAGGGCAGCAGTGGAGGCCTTGGGGTGATTATCTCGTTTAAAGTATTTTTAGAAGGTGTGGTCATATTGTCTTTTCAATTTAAAAAAGCAATAGGAAAAATATGGCTTTCCTACATTTCTGTCTCCGCGCTGGGTTTGGAACGGCCACAGCTCTATTCTTGCCTTTTCTTGTTGTTGTTAGTGGTTTTCTAGAAGGCTCCAAGAAGCTTACTGAATTGGAAATAAAACAGCCCAAGCTTCTCACTCCATGACCTAGCTGGGAGTGTATACCAGCCAGCGGTGGGTGGATGCTAGTGAATTCAGGAATCAAACCTAGGGCCTTGGGCTTGCCACCAGGCACTCTGCCAATTGAGCTATACCCCCAGTCCTTGAACTATTGACTTTTAAAGTATGGCCGTTTAGCAGGCCCCAAGACCGAAAGCTGGGTGCACTTTCAAATCTCACCAAGAACCGAACTTCCAAAAGGCCCATGAACGCAGGCCTTGTCTGGACTTTTCCTAGTTGCTGACTTCCACCAAGCTCCTGTAGAGGGCGCCACTCAACATTTTCCTCATCCAGTTCTCTTGCTTTATGTGACCACCATGGGGTATGTGTGTTGGGTGGGTGGGAGGGAAACCTACCCAGGCCCCTGCTGTGTGCTGGTGGCTATTTCAGGTGCCAGGAAGAGGGCCGCAGCCATGGCTCCTGTGGGACTTCCGGTAATTAAGCCAAGTTCTGTGACAGAGCCCACCAGAGGCCGAGATGGAGACTAGAGAAGGGGCTGGGAAGTCAGCTGAGACAATACGGCATTGAAGTCAGCCTTGCCAGTCGGCGAGGCGGAAGTGGTCTGTCTGCCTGGGTGACTGAAAGGAGGCTACCAGGCAGGGAGCCCCAGGAAGCAGGCAAGAGATGCAGGGAGGTCAGCCGGGCCCCCGAGGAAGCCACTGAATATTTCAATGACGGGAGTGGATGTCGGGGGAACGAAGGTGTCTTGAGCCCCTAGTATATGCCAGGCATTGAGCTGAGGAGCCACAGCCCTGCTTCATTCAATTTTCACAACGTCATCAGATGGGCAGTCTATGCCTCATTTTACAAGACAGAAAAGTAGCGTCTCAGACAAGTTATAATTCTTACCTCGGGTCACACAGTAAGAGGACCAGAAGTCTGGGCATGGGGCCTGAATGTCCAGCTCTGAATTCTTTAGTCTTCTCCACACTTTCAACCTGGGACCCTGGTCACCAGTGCTGAGTGGGCAATAGGCGGGCAGAGCAAATGGCTTCCTGTCAAGTCTCTCTGTCTTTTAGGATGGACTTCCTGGGTTTTGTTTACTGTAGGACACCTGTCCCCGACCCACGCGTGATCACATAGGTACAGCAAATGCAAGTAGAGAGAACGTGCCCATAGAACTTGGAGGGCTGGTGGCGAACCCCTGTCACTGGCTGGATGCCCTGGTCCCTTTGCCCACTGGTGGGCTCAGTGCTTGGCTCCTGGGTCTGGGAGGTGCTTGCTTTCTAGGCCTGGGAGTTGCGACTCCATCTGCCATCTGCCATGACTCACGGCTGTCTCTCAGGCCACCTCTCCAGCACCTGACTTCTTGCCCAACAGCCCTCCCTCGGAAGTCTGACCAATGTCCCAGGCTTTACAGGTTCCAGGCTCTGCTCTGAGCTTTCCACACAAGCCCATCCATCCCAACCTTCCCCACCTCCGAGAATAGTTGTTCTCAGCTCTTTCTCTGAGATCCCCAGCCCGTCTCTCAGGAAGCCCTGCTTCAAAATTTACCCACAAACCAGCAGCTGCACCCCCTCTGTCACTGGCCCAGGCTAAATACTTCTGCTCTCCTCCTGCTGTGCTGGCTAGTTTTTAAAGTCAGCTGGACCCAAGCTAGGCTCACATGGGAAGAAGAAATCTTAATTGAGAAAATGCCTCCATAAGACTGGCCTTCAGGCACGTTTGTAGGGGCTTTTTCTTGATTGATAATAGATGTGGGAGGGTCCAGATCACTGTGGGTGGGGCCACCCCAGCAGGTGGTCCTGGATGGTATAAGAAAGCAGCAGGCTGAACAAACCCGGAGTGAGTAAGCAGATAAGTGAGAGGTCTCCACGGCCTCTGCATCAGCTCCTGTCTCCAGTTCCTCTCTGACTTCCCTTAGTAACGCACTGTTCTGTGGAACTGTAAGCTGAAAAAAAAAAAAATCCCTTTCCTCCCCAAGTTGCTTTTGGTCATGGTGTTTTGTCAGAGCAATCGAAACCCCAACTGAGACACCTGTTTACCAAGGAGCCCTCTGGAAAGAAGGCCTCCTGGGAGCTGCTGGTGTTTGCATAAAGAGGAAAGGCAGAACACACTGAAGGAGGAGCAGGATGGAAGGCCCTGAGGTGGGGCTGGGCATAGCAGGATTCAGGAACATGATGGAGGCCATTTTGGCCGCAGTGGGATGAGGAAAGAACCCTCCAGTCTCGTTCCATAGGGTCAGCCTGGACTAGCCAAGTCTATGAACTGAAAGTAAGTTGGAGAATGACTGCTAACGGGCACAGGCATTCTTTTCTTTGGTGTCTTTTTTTCTGAGACAGGGTTTCTCTGTGTGGCTTTGGAACCTGTCCTGGAACTTGCTTTGTAGACCAGGCTGGCCTCGAACTTAGAGAGATCCGCCTGCCTCTGCCTCCCGAGTGCTGGGATTAAAGGCGTGTGCCACCACCGCCCGGCTAGGGGCACAGGCGTTCTATAGGGAGTAACGCCAGTGCTGGCGAATTGCCGGTGCTGATGGTGGCACAACTCTGCCACGATACTAAGAAACTTCTGAATTGTTGAAGAATTTATAAAGCATTTTTTACATATTAAAAAAAAAAGAAACAATCAGACCATATCCTTCCTCTGCTTGGACTCTATAATGGCTCCCGCCTTACTTCGATGGAAAGCCAAGGTTATTTTGATGACTTCCCAGGCTCTCTCTAAGTTGGCCCTGTTGTCCACCAGACCTCTTCCCCGACCCCCAACCTGACTGGGGCCAGAATGGCTCCCATGATTCTCCTTGGACCTGCTTTGCAACTTCCTGCCTCAGGACCTTTGTCCCTGCTCTGCCCCCTGCCTGGAACCTCTTTCTAGCTGGTGTCCCAAAGGCTGGCTCCTTCCTTCCTTCACATCTGCGTGCAGACATCAGCGCTTCTGAGAGGCCTTCAGCGGCCGTGCCACCCTCTCGAAAACATCGCGGTGGTCACTTCTCATTCTCCTTCCCTATCTTTTCTCCTTAGAACTGTACTTCAGGGGCCGAGGAGATAGCCTTGCAGGTAAAGACGCTTGCTGCCAAGACTGCCATCCCGAGTTCGGCCCCTGGGACCCACACGGTGAAGGAGAGAACTGACTCAGTTGTTGTCTGACCCCCCCCCCACGTGTATGCCGTGGCACATGCCACATGCACACCCACAATCACAATCATGCGCACTCATCCCTCACACCTATGCATTAAAATAAACAAATAAATAAGAGTAATAAACCCACCCCAACCCCATTGCTCTGCATTTCACTTGGCGATTCCTACTTACGGCCAGTAACACGAAGGCAGGGGTTTTGTGTTTTGCCCGCAGGAATATTTTGGGTTTAGGATGGGTGCCCGAAGTGTTTAGGAATGACCAAGTGACAGGTGGCAGGGTGACAGGGGTCTGTGAGGGAGTGCCCTCAGATAAGGGAAGACGTTTGGTACTGGGACATCTCTCTGGAGCCTCTTAGCTGCTCCCACCAGTTCTTCTTGAAGCCACAGAGGCTCTTGCATGGCCAAGACCCCCCACTTTCACTTAGGATCTGAATCACAGGAGTATTTGCTGGTCCTAGCAGCTCGGGTAGTGAATGGAGTCCAAGGGGCTTTGGGTTGGAGTCTGGGCTCCCACATCTGCCCTAGCTGTTCAACAGACAGACAGAAAACTTCCCGGTGATTCAGTATGAGTCATAGACACGCAGCCTCTGGTAAGGGTGGGCTGTTCCCTGACCTTGCTTGGAGAAGGTGTTGTGGTGTCCTCTAGAGACAGAGGCAGCGTGCAGACCCCGGGCCTGTGAAGACCAAAGGGAGACTCAGGAAGATTTTAGCATGGAGTAGACTTTTGAAACAGGAAGGGTTATGACAGATAATGCCTTTGGGGCCTTGAGATCAAGGCAAAGAAGGGAACATGGAAGCTACCTGGTAGAGAGAGACAGGGAGAGTGGAATATAGTCAGCTCTCTGGTTTGAACCAAAAATGTTTGGGGAAGAAAACAAACAAATGTAAACTGTGTGTCTTGAGCATGTCCCAGGGTTATTATTATTTTTTTCTTCTCATGGTTCCTTATACAATGTAGTGGTACGACTATTTTCACAGCATTCAGACCAAGTTAGGGAGGTTCATATAGCCCAGGGGAGGGCGTCTGGTGGTTCTGTGCAGACCCTACACTATCTTTATGCAAAGCACTTGAACAGCCATGGGTTTCAGTTTCACTTGGGGTCCTGGAACCAAACTCCTGCTGATATAGAGGACTGTGTTAAAAACAAAAACAAAAACAGTGCTAGGAGGCGGCGGCGGCGGCGGCGGCGGCGGCGGCGGCGGCGGCGGCGGCGCACGCCTTTAATCCCAGCACCCGGGAGGCAGAGGCAGGCGGATCTCTGTGAGTTCGAGGCCAGCCTGGTCTACAAAGCAAGTTCCAGGACAGGCTCCAAAGCTACACAGAGAAACCCTGTCTCGAAAAACAAAAACAAAAACAAAAACAAAACCCAACCAAACAAACAAACAAAAAACTGGACTGGGGCGGTGGCTGGGTTGGTAAAGTGCTTGCCTAGCAGGCACTAAGCCTTAAGTTTCATCCTTAGTACCATATAAACTGGGCACAGAGGTCCATGTCAGGAGGATCAGAAGCTCAAAGCCATCCTCAGCTACACAACAAGTTTCAGGGCAACTTGAGCTGTATAGCAAAACAAAATTGGCTGCAGGAGCCAGGCCCGGGGGCACAGGACTGCCACCTGAGCGCCAAGAGAGTGAGACAAAGAATTGCAGAGTGGAGGTCAGTCTGAGCTGCTGGAACTGACTACATAACTACACAGAACAGCAAGAAAGCCCACTGCTGTGGAGTCAGCCAGGGCAGGGCTTGGCGCTCAGGTTCTGTCGGCTAACAAGCTGACACTGAGTAAATTATGCAAGTTCTGGGTGAGTGACAGCCATTGTTGGGGTTACGGGGAGGCTGAAAAGGGGTGAAAAGGTTGCATAACAGGGAGTAACAACAACAACAGCAACAACAACAAAAAAAAAGAGGAACAAAGCCAGGCATAGCCGTTTATGCCTGTAATCCCAGCACCCAGGAGGCTGAGGCAGGAGAATTGCCCTAAGTTCCAGGACAGCCTGGGCTACAGAGTGGAATCCTGGCTTTAAACACTGTGTGTAGGAGATGGATTTGGAGGCATGGTGGAGTCAGAGCAGATTAAAAAGGCGGAGCTGCCCCCCCCCCCCCCCAAGAGGCAGGAGGTCAAGCGCAGGAGGATCCCAGGGTCAGGGAGCACGGCTGGCTCCTGAGGTTTTCAGGGAGGTGGGGAGCAGAGGAACTGTGAGTGTCACAGGATCAGGATTGATGCCCAGGATGGCACTGGCCTCAGTATCCTGGAGTTGTGCCCAGCACAGGGCCCGATACACTGGGATACCCAGGAGTCCTGGAGTCCCAGCCCTGCGGGTGTTGCCAAGGTTACCTGATGAGCTGCTCCTGGAGCGCCTGCAGCTCTTCTTCCTGTGCCCGCAGCAGCTGCTCCTGGCGCTGGGCCTGTTCCTTTGCCAGCCGGAGCCCATATGTGGGGTCCTGGGGAAAAGATGGGCAAGGAAGGGTTGGAAGACAACAACCCAGCTTGGGGCTCAGCCGATGAACTTCCCTGTGAGGCTTTAGCCACACTTGGGTGAGTCTGGGGTTATCACTTTTTTTTCCCAAAAGTTGCCAATTCTTGGACCTGGAAGACCCTGGCTAGGAAGGAGGCTGGGGGACATCTTGGGAGCTATCTTTGGGGAGAACTTCTGGGAAAAGCATGTCAAAATGTGACTAGTCCTGGGGCAGGGAGGTGGTAGTATAGCAAAAGAGCTTAGACACTGGGAGATCTCTGCCCTGGTAAGGGAGCCTGAACTTTGTGACCCAAAAGACTTGCTGGGATGTGGTTCCTAACTCAAATGTTGGCATGGCTAGGCAGGAAGTACTGATAACTGAAGTAGGCCTCATACAAAGCAATCATGGGAAGGGACACCCTATGAGCTGAAGAATGTGTGACTTTCAAAGGGTCTCCCCAGATAGTGACTCCGAGAAGGCAAACCGAAATTGATTTGCAGAGCTCTGTGTGATGGCACATACCTATATCTCCAGCATTTGGGGGTCAGAGGCAAGAGGATCAGGAATTCAAGGACAGCCTGGCTATATAGCAAATTCGAGGCCAGCCTGAGTTGCAGAAGATCTGTAACTCTGTTCACAAACAAACAACCCCTTATACTGATCTGTGGTCTGGAATGGCCTCAGTCTATCACTGTAGCCCTTTTCGTCACAAACCAGGAGAGAGGAAGCAATGGACAGGTACCTTGGCCATCTCCTGCACGGGCACTTCCGCTTGATCCTCCAGCCTGCTCACGCTGGTCACTCTTGTCCACTCTTGTGGCTTCTCTGTGGGGGAGCCTTTCTTTACTCCCGGGCTTTGCAGGACCCAGGGCTGCCCTAGAACACTAGGCTGATTCCACCCCTGCCTGTTCCCTAATGCTGTGTCATTTACCCTTCCTTGAAGGCTGGGGGTCAGCAGCCCTTGGTCACGGTCCCCATCTGCTGCCTTTTCCTGGGTCCCCTCTGTTGCTCTCTGACCTTCTGTCACTGACAGGCTTCCTTTGCCTTCATCTTCCTCTCCTGTCACCTCCCTTTGAGCCTCCTTAGCCCCTTCCCTCTGTTGCTGGCGGCTGGCCGCTGAATTCTCCAGGGATTTCCTATTCTTTGGGCCTCCCTCCTTCTGGTCTCGCTCAAATCCCTCCCCTTCTGTTTCCCAAATGCTCTGGGGACAGCTGAGGCTCCGGGGATCCCCCTTCTTCTTTTCTGAAAAGGTGGGAAGATGGCCATGCTGCATGGGGGTAGGGAGGCCAGGTAGGCGGTCTTCTCTGGGTGCATCTTGCAGAGAGCTGGTTCCACGGGCGTCTGGCCCCTGTAGCTGCTCTCCTCTGGAGCAGCTCACCTGTAGAGAAGTCCCATCTCAGCATCTGGTCATTGATCTGGGAGAGAGCCCTGGGCCAACACGGCTTGCTTCTTATTGGACTCCTAGGCCTCCTATTGGGAAAGCCACCAGAGCCGAGATAATCTCAGGCAGCACCCCCACAAGACCCACAAATCTGAGCTAAGAACAGCAGGAGTCTCAGCTCCTCCCCTTCCTACCTCCAGTCAGTGGCATCTCCCTGGGCCTGGGTTGATGTTGTGCCCCCCACCCCCACCCCCCGAATTCCTCCTCCACCTTCTCCTTTCACCTTTTCTCCTGTGCTTGATTTTGTGCCTCTACATTCTCATCTCTAAAAGGGGAACAAGAATTCCTGGTTTATAAGATGGCGACAGAATCTTAAACAGACAAGTGACTACTCTCAAGAAGTCTCCCCTGGTGGGGATGTAGCTCAGTGGTGGACCACTTATCTAGTATGCGTGACCCTGGATTCGATCCTCAGCATAGCAAGGGCAGGGGAGCCTTCTCTCTGCTTCTATTTTTCCCTTGGCCATATCTGTACCCTCCAGTCATCCTTTGATATCAGGGGAGTTGGCTCCAGGACCTCAAGATGCTGCTCAAATGCCTGGATACTCGAGACTCTTCTTTAACGTGGTGCGGGACTTGCCAATAACCAATGCGCATGCTCCAGTATGCTGAAGTCCTTTTTAGATGACTTTAATACCCCACACAGTGTCAATGCTGTGTAAGTAGTCATTATACTGCCTTGTTTGGGGAACACTGAGGGTGAAAGAACCCACAATGTTCAGAACCAATGCAATCAGTTTTTTTCTAAATATTTTGTATGTGCGGTTGGTTGAGTCTACAGATGCAGAACCCACAGATGTGGGAGGCTGACTGCACACTTAGCATGGATTGCCATGTGTTCCGGATCTGTCTCCACGAACAAATCTCGAACTCTTTCGAGGTCTGAGACTGAGTCCTTCACAGGGCCACATCTGGTGTCTGGAAGCTTGTGGAATGGTGACAACCTCAAGCTGCCACAAGAGACTAGAGAGCAGGAGCCAGGAGCCTTGTGCTGAGCTCCATGGAGGTTGTCTCAAGCCATCCTCACAACTCCCCTAGGACAGAAACTCACCTGAGAGGACCTTTAGCTGAGGTTAGAAAGGGGCAGCACTGGGCTGTGACTTGGGAAACCAAGCTCTTGAGTTACTCCCCTAACTGACACAGGCCAATTTGAACACCCAGCCCAGAGGTTTCAGTAGAAGTAGACTTCCCGGTCTGTTTGCTGCAAGCCTCCAGCCACCCCATTGCCCTCTCCTGAGAGTCCCAATGGCTCCTACAGGTGGCACCAGAGCTCCCTTATTCTTCTTATTCCACCTCCTCAAGAACAAGACTGCTCCCTCTCCCTGCCCTCCTATCCCTTGCTTCACACATGGCTTCCACCTCTGTTCTGGTTAGCGCTCTGCACACCCACAGGAGGCCCTGCTCAACTTGGGAGTGCCAGGAGATCGATGATCAAGAAGCAAGTCGGGGTAAAGGTAGGCAGACACACCTCCTTTGGGTAACCTTTGGGCTTTCTGGGTCTTCTTTCCTGGGTCTGTCTGGGATTGGAGCAGCGGGACCTGAAACCAAGAGGCAGAACATCTGGAGTCTTTAGTTGGCTTGGTCCTCTAGTGGAGGCTGCCTGGCTTCAGAGCCACTCATTCAGACTACTACCCTTCCCATTTCCACCTTCCCCCGAGTGATTCCCTTTCCTCATCTAGCCAGCCATCCCATGTTCCATCTATACATCCATTGCATCCTAGCATCCTATCACCTATCCACCCTTCTCACTTTCCACCCTGGCCAATTAGCCTTTAGCAGCATGGCCTAGCCTGAGATGATACTGAGGAAAGAGAAGACTAGAGAGTGGGGACAAGGATCAAGAAGGGGAGGGAAGCAGGCTTCAAAGTGGGGGAGAAACCACCATTTGTACCCAGATATGGCACCTATGAACCACAATAACCAACATGTCGTGATAACCCTAAGGGTGTAGTAGTGGTACACATACCTTGGTCGTAACCAACAGCTCTCGAATTGGAATGAAGACATACCCAACAAGAGGGTAAATCATGCCTGGTACTGGAAACCTAGCCTACTACCCAAGGGTAGTGAAGTCAAGGATCTTGGAGAAGAAGCTACAACCACTACTTCACTAAACCAGCAGAATCCTTGGCTACATTTTAAATATTTGTCCTTATACCCACAGACCAGGGTAGTCCTCACCCTTCATCAAAGAAACGTCTCTTTGCAACAGATGGAGATCATTACAGAAAACAACAACCCATCGGAATGAAGGGTTGTGGAGCCTAGTCCCAACTGATACATATACAATACAGCTACATGTAAGGGATTATCGCAGAAGTGGGGGTTGAAAGGTGAGCCAGAGAGTCAGGGAGTTGACTGCAAGGCTGTGTCTTCTAGGAATGTCAGAATCTACACCTAGAAAGTCTCACCAACATGACTGCCCAAACATGAGCCGAACAAGGACAATAGCCATAGACATGCTAACACAAATGAGGAAAAGTTCACGAGGACTCAACCCTGCAAAAAGAACTACTAAGGAATGCTGAGAGTCGGAGAAAACAGTCTTCCTCAGGGAAGAGCCCATTGATTGGTTATCCAATACCAAATGGTTAGCCCTGAAAACATACACACATATAACATTATACAGACTGAGTGGTTGAATGTGTGTGTGTGTGTGTGTGTGTGTGTGTGTGTGTGTGTGTGTGTATCTCACAACAATTAATGAAAAAGGAGCCCATGAATTTGAAGGAGAGCAAGGAAGAGTATATGGGAAGCTTTGGAGGGAGAAAAAGGATGGGGGAAACAATATACTTACAATCTCAAAAAACACTTTTTTTTTTGTTTGTTTTTTCAAGACAGGGTTTCTCTGTGTAGCTTTGCGCCTTTCCTGGAACTCACTCTGTATCCTTAACTCACTCTGTAGCCCAGGCTGGCCTCGAACTCACAGAGATCCACCTGCCTCTGCCTCCCGAGTGCTGGGATTAAAGGTGTGCGCCACCACCACCTGGCTTCAAAAAACACTTTTAAAGGGAAGAAAGAACGGCTTGGGTCGGAGGCTGAGAGCCCACTCACTCTGAGAACATGGGCCAGGCTTCATCCAGGTCTGGCCGCTGCAGGTCCAGGTTGAAGGCAACTCCATTGAGGGCATAGAGAGAGTCCAAAATGTCTTCCTGGAGCTCAGGGCACAGCAGAGGGCTCCGGGGGCCATACCATTCCCTGTGCGAAGATGGACGAGCACATTTGGAGGTGGCCACTCGACCTCGAGAATCGGCACACCACAGGGGACCTTCCCGGGCAGGTGTGGCTGAGCTCAGCCTTGGAGGGCAGAGGCCCAAGCTGAACTGAGGACCCTTAAGCCCTTCCTCCTTTCTGACCCTCATTCCCTTATCCTTAATGGTCAGGCATCCATTTAGGAGTGAAGGAGGGTAGTGGGCTCAAGTGTCCTACATGGGATGATGGCCTGGCAGTCCTACCGAGTGAGATCTGGGCTCAGGAGGCACAGCTGCATGGACTCGGCCAGCTGTCCATGGGCGAGGCAGAGTCGGATAAAGGCGCGGCCCTTTCCTAGAGAGGTCTTCAGCTGCAGGGTGTGGGGAGGACCAAAGAGAGGGCCACATCAGGATGGGGAGCTGGGCCAAGGTTGGAGGAGGACTGTGTGGCTGGAGGTGAGGCCAGGTTCAGTGAGAGGTGAGGAGTGGGTGAGAATTCTGTTAGTGGAGCAGGTATGAGTGAGTGACAGGGGACCCAGGGAAGGGCTGTATGCCCGCCTTGAGCCATTCTTGGTCCGGGGCTGGTACCAGAGCTTTATCGTGCTTCCAAAGTCCATCCCTTCCCCATCTCCTGCTACCTTGTCCTGTGAGCATACGAATCTGGTCTGCTCCGTGTGTCCCCGCTGCCGTCGCAGGGCAGTGAAGAGGAAATCCCAGTAATCTTTCCGAGTCCCCAGGAAGCTCCTCTGCTCCTTCTGGTCAAACTAGGATTGAGATGAGGAAAAGGAATGTGTGCCAGCGGTTCCTTCTGGAACCTACTAGCACCCTGGCATGCTGGGAAGGCAACTGAGAAGAAGAAAGGACTCCTGTCTATAGACAGGCCCCTTTTAGGGAGAGATCTGGCTCTGCCCTTAGGATGGAGACAAGATATTTGCTCTCTCTGAGTATGTGTTTACACTCATTCATTCACAAACACTGAGTACTTTACTATGTGCGGACCCCATTCTAAGGCCTGTGAACAATGAACAAGCCGACCTCATACAGCTCACATCTTGGTAGGGGAGTCGGAGGATGAATAAGTTAAGTTCTTAAAGCACACAGTGTGTTAGATAGTGATGGTGGCTGTGGAGGGGGAAAAAAGGAAGAGAATAGGAAGTGTGTGTGTGTGTGTGTGTGTGTGTGTGTGTGTGTGTGTGTGAGAGAGAGAGAGAGAGAGAGAGAGAGAGAGAGAGAGAGAGAGAGGCTCAAATTTTAGCTTGAGGAAGCCTTCAGACCTGAGGGTCATGTGAACGGATGTCATACAAGTATCTAGGGAATAGCATTCCAGGCAGAGAGAATGTAAAGATAAAGACCCCTAGACAGGTGCAATCCTGGTGTGCTCTGGGGGTTGAGACAGGGTCGAAAGAGTGCAGCTCACTGTCAAAAGATGACATCAGAGGAGGAGGAAGGATAATTACGTTTATGTGTGTGTGTGTGTGTGTGTGTGTGTGTGTGTGTGGGTGATAATCAAGGCTCTCAGGAAGTAGAAATGAGGAGAGAATGAAGGCCAGTCCTAGCTTCTAGGAGGCAGTTTATGTCATGAAAGACTTGCTCACTGAGCAAGGGGACAGTGAAGGGTAGCCAAGGAAGACAGTGGCTTGGGTATGTATCTGGGAAAGCTCTCCTGAGTATTCAAAGCCAAAGACTAGGGGAGGGGAAGAGAGGGAAGGTGGACATTCCCACCTGCAGCAGCAACTCCAGACAGCCACAGAGTCTATGTAGCTCAGCGCTGGTGTCTGTCACGGGCCCCTGCCCGTCCCCATATCCTTGGAGGATGGCGGAGACAGCGTCTGCAAGGAGGGATGGTAGACAGCAGGCATCAGAGAGCCCAGCCTCCAAGGGAGATGCTCTCCAGACCGCAGCTCACCCCCAGAAAAGTCTCACAGGACATACTCACCTTTCAGATTCCTGGTGATCTTGAGGATGGCCCCCTCCTCTGCCATGGAGGCTTGGAAGTGAGGTGATTCCCTGTGATCCTCTGGCTTCAGCTGCCCACTTTCCTTCTGTAGAGATGGGATGAGAGTCTGGAGTTGAGAAAGAATGAGAACACACCGGGTTCACACAGTGCATTAAATGGTGGGATGAAAAACAACTCTTCCTTCCTTCCTTCCTTCCTTCCTTCCTTTCCTTTCCTTTAAAATTTAATAGTTTACTGAGTACACTGCAAGGGATCAGAGTTACTTCTTGAAGGCTGATGTATAAAGATGTGAATGTGGCTCCCACTTATTGGGTCATCCCTGGTGCCGGTCACCCTGATCATTGCTGACATCTTTTATCTCATTCAGTTCCCTTGGTAGCCTCCCGAGTGTACTGTTACAGAAGATGGCTGGGCACAGAGAGGGTAAATCTCAGCCCCGTACCACAAAGCTACAAGCTGAACCCAGATCTGTTTACGTGGTATGAGCAGAATGCCTGCGCCCTGTGGACACCCGCCTGGGGGAACTGTTACCTCCTCTCCCCCTGGATAGCCCCTGAGCTTCAGCAGAGTGTCATCGCCTTGAGACCTACATTAATCCTTTCCAGGGCCCCAGCTGAGTGGAAAATGTGTGTTCCCTGGGGAGAGCAGGCAGAAGTAGGGGTACAGAGTTGGGACTGAACTCAATGGTGAGTGTGAGGAGTAGGGTGCTTGGGTTTACCCCCACCATTCTGTCTCCAACTGGTCCTGGCACCCAGAGAGGGATGCTGTTGCCCTTGAAGGATTGATGAGCTTAGGCTGAGATCCTGGCATCCAAGTCAGGCCCAGGACGAAAGCCCAGGTGTCCAGCCTTCTAGGCTGCAGGAATGGAGTTTGTGGGGGGGCGGGCAGGGCGGGTAGCAGCCCTGTGGCAGTGGATCATGGGGAAGGAAAGGAGAAAGAAGACAAGAAAGGAATGAACAGCAGTGTATGGGGCCCAGGCCTGGGAGTCAGAGGACGCAGGACCACCCTGGACTGGTTACTCACTCACCGTGTGTCTTCCCAACAGTTCACTCAGGCCCCGGTTTCCTTATCTGTAGACCAAGAACTAGACAGAAGTTCTCGACAGACCTCCAGGACTCCTCTATCCCATCCCCAAACCCAGGGACTCCCCCTGCTCACCTGGGAAAGCCTACCTAGTTGGAGTGTGGGCAGCAGGGTTCTGCAGCCTGAGTGTGTATGTCCCTTGTGACTGTGGGCTCCGCACAGCCCTTCCTGCCTGGGGAGTGACTCAGGCCCAGCCTGGAGAGGGCTGGACCAACCCTGGCCAGGGAGAAGTAGTAGAGAAAGATCAAGGGCACTGAGGCAGAATGGGTGGCTCCCTCAAGCTGATCTGGCCTAGGGCCAGTTGGTGGTCAAACACAAACCCCATAGAGGCCTCTTTCCCCGGGCACCTGCTCCTGTCTTTCTGTCTAGTTGCCAGAAGATGGCAGAAAGAGGCTGACCGAGGCGCTAGCGGGCTCCTTTCTCTCCGGTTGGTTCCTGTCACTGGCCTGCAGGTGTCACAGGTGGAGAGAGGACAAACGACCATCGAGTATCTTCCCCCCTCCTCTACCCCAGCCAGCTGCGCGATCCTCGTCAGTGCTGGGGTGCCTTCCTCCCAGCCCTGGTACCCACTTCCCGGGGACGGAAGTAAACGCTCGGTCAAGCGCCAGGTGGGCTGCTCTTGTAGGGTGGCCTCTCTTCGTTGACCTCGCTCAGCTTCCTGATGCTGGCTGGGGTCATAGTTTTTCTAGGGTAGACTGGTCTGGGTGGGTGCTGGTCCTGGTAACTGGGAACCGAGGGTTGGAGACTTCTAGAACTACTTTGACAAGGTAGAGGAACCACCTGTAAGCAGGGCACAGGGCGATCCCCAAGTCTGCTGTTCTCTGCTCCACGTCCCGCCCTTTTCCCCCCCGGTGCAGAACTCGATCCCAGCGACACCCGTCCTCCCTGTCGCCGTCTCTGTCCCCCGCAGATCCCTTCTCTGGTGTCAGTGTCTCAGTCGCTCGCTGGTCCCTCTTTCTCGCGCTCCTAACTAAGCTCAGCCCGTCCCAGGGACCCCGCTGCCGCCCCTCCCGCGTTCCCGCGCCTTCGGGTCCCCTCCCCACCGTCCCTGCCTCCTGCGTCCGTGTCGCCGCCCCTCGCAGGGCCCCCCGCACTCCCACCGCCTGGCAGAGCCGCGGTGGAGGCGGAGGCGGACTCCGACGGGGCGGGCCGGGGGCGTCGCCCTCCTTCCCCCACGTCGCAGACGCCCTGGGCCCGAGAGGTCGCTGGGCTGGGGGCGGGCCAGCTCGCGGGTAGTCCGCGTCCCCGCCCCGGGCCCGCCGGGCGCCGGGCCGGATGGGCTGCACCGTGAGCCTGGTGTGCTGCGAGGCGCTCGAACCCGCGCCCCCCTGCGGCCCGCAGCCCCCCGGGACTCCGCCGGGTCCTGAGCGGCCCGAGCGCTGTGAGCCCGGGGGTGCGGCGCGAGCCCAGAGGAGGCGGCGGCGGCTGCTGCTTCAGGTAGGGTGCTGCGGGCTGGGTGCGGGCTGGGTGCGGGCAGAACCCAGTCCACCTGGGACAGTAAGGAGTCTGGGAAGGTGTGGGTTGGGACGTGGGAGGGCCCTGCAGCCAGTTCCGTGGAGGTCACATCTGGGCTTCTGGTGTCCTTGAGCAGAGGGTGCCCTAGAAGGGCAAATACCTGCGAGCCGTTGTGGGCAGGTCTGTGAGCCAGCACTACCGAGCTTGAGGCGGGAGGATAATAATCCAAGGCCAGCAGCATAGTGAGATCGTTTCTCAAACAACCTAAATCCGACCCAAACCTTAAACAAAAAGCAAAAACAAACAAGAAGAAAGAGTTGAAAGAGAAAGTGGCAGAGAGAGGGAGAGAGGGAAGAAGCAGGCAATTAGATCGGGTGAGAATCTGGAACCACCAGAGGGTGCTGGGGCAAAGAGGGAATGGTTAATATCCCCTTCGCCTGGGGTGGGGAGGCAGAGTGTTGGCTGTCTGGATCTGTTCTACCAGGAGGAGGAAGGGGCTGTCAGAGCCAGGGCGGGGGCCCATTGGCAGAGTGTGAGGAGGTTGGTGGGACAGAGGCAGCGGCAGGGAAGACCGGGGGGGGGGGGGGGATGGAGGAGGGTGGGGCATTTAGCTCTGCACCCCCTTCCTCCTCCCTCTTCTTTTCTGGCCGAGTCTTGGAACCTGGGTGTGGGAAACTGACCAGAGGCAGCTTGATGTGGTGTGAGCGGGCTGTCTGGACCCCCCAGGCTTTGCATGGGCTCTGCATTTTCCTGGAGAAAGTGTTTTGTATTACTAAGGGCTGGCCAACTCTCCTCCAGCCCGTGCAGGACCACAGCCTCCCTCTCCATGGGGGCAGGGGGAACAGCCTCATGGGACTGTGTGCTGAACTATGTTCTGGGTGATACTGGCGTCCTACAATTTTTTCTCCACGGAGGCCAGTAGTCCTCCTAATGCGTCCTGCAACCACATCCCAGCCCCTCCTTATGGACCGCAGGGAGGCCGATGTGGCTATGTGTACTTATGTACTTGTTTGAAAGAGCATGTCGCTGCCTAAGAGGCCCCTCTGCACTGCTGGACTGGCTGTCCCTTTAGGGCACAGATGAGAGCCTTATTTGTGGTTAAATGCCACAGCCACAGGTTGGGAATTTGTAAATGAAATGCTCTATCCTCCAAGGCAGTAGGCAGTGACTGGGCATGATGAGGGACAGGTTTGGGGATGGAATTCTCATCTGTATCCCAAAGTGGCTGGTGCCCTAACTGGATTCTCATGGAGCCTGGGGAGGAGGAAGGGCTTGGGGAGCCTGGGAGTATGAATTGGGCACCCCCACATCACTGGTGATGGCAGAGAACTGGGGTGACATGATAGAGTTTTTAGACTGCAGGTTCCCCCCCCCCCCCCAGAATCATTAGGGTGGCTTTCCCCCACCCACCTACCCTTGGTCCAGAGCTTCCCACTCTTCTGTCTTTTGCAAGATGTCCAGGGAGGTGAGGAGAGAGTGGCCCTTCCTATTTCAAATCCTGGGTTTTCCCTTAAGGGGTGAGTCTGAGCTGCTTCCTGGGGTCTGGGGCTTGGAGTAGAGAGCCCTGGGAGGCATCTCAGATTCCAGGGCTCCCTGTTTGTTGCTCTTACCTCCTGCTTGGCTGAGACCATCCACTTCCTTGTTCTGCCTGCTGCTTTTCAGACAGGTCCCCAACCCTTCTCCTCTCTTTCTGCCTGTGGGCTCAGGACTTAGACTCCCTCCTAACTCTCCTTGCAGCCAGCTTTGATATGGTGGGGGGATGCCCACTGGGCATGTGAGGCTGCGCAGGGATGGATAATTGGGGGCTGAGATCCGGGAGAAGAACCAGGGGCTCTGGAGGTTGGTGACTCAGGAAGAGAAGGGGGGAGGGATTTGTGTATGCCCTGTGTGACAGCGTCAGGGACAGGGATGTCTGTATTCGGGAACAAGTGTCTGTCTGCATTTGGATGAGCTGGTTTTCCAGTGGCCTCTTGGGAGAGCTGGCTGTGACTCATCCCCTCCCTTATCTGCATGGATAAGGCTCCATCTCAGCCAAGTGCCCAGGCCCTGCTTCAAGCAGGGGCTGCTGGGCCGGCAGCTCTTCTTGCTTAGCCAGGACCCCATTCACAGGTAACTCTCAGGAGACTATGCAGTCCGGGAAAGAGCAGTCTGTGCCTATCACGGGGGCCCTTGCTGGAGGAGGTGCGAGACTCATGCTCTTGTTCTGGATAAACATTGCTTGGGCTCTCACCCTCCCGAGAACCCGGCTCAGAAGCTACTAGGCATCTGGGCTGGCAGCCAGGGCTCTCCTACTGCCACAGACACGTGCCAGCCGCCATTCCTGCCTGGCCCATCCCACGGGCTAACTTGGTGCCCTGGGGCGGGCTGGATGTCTCCGACTCCCCATCTCAGCCTTGCTCTTCTGATGCCCCCTTTGCCCACTGTGGTATCCCTGTCTCCTTCCTCTGCAGTTGCCTTTCTCACTCTGCGGAGGCGCCCCCCCCCTTCCTGGCCCCACCCACTCTGTCTCTCCAGCCAATCTGAGACCTGCCCCTCCTCCCCGTTTGGAGGGTGCTGTCTGCTCCAGCTTTGCCCTGTCTTGAGCTTGGATCCTATACCCCTCAGCTGGCTTTTGTTTTTAATTATTAATTTTAAAAAACATTTTTATTTATTTATTTGTGTGTGTGTGTTATTGTGCACATGCCATGGTCCATGTCCTGTGAGAGTCACATCTCTTCTTCTACCATGTGGGTCCCCAGGATCAGACTCAGGGCGTCAAGCTTGGCAGCAGGTGCCTGTACCAGCTGAACTGTCTTATGACCCTCAGCTGGTTTCTTTGGCCCTCAGAGTTCGTGCATGCTGAGCCCTCCTGAGGCTCCTGTGGGGGCCTGAAGAGGAAGGAGGGTAGGGATTGTTGGCATCCCTCCTGAATGTTCCCGCCAAGCTTCTCTGACCTGGGCGCCAAAGGGCCTGGCGGGCATCTCTAGGTGCCAACCTCGCCTCCTCACTCTGTGCCGTATCCAAGACAAGTGGGTGCTTGTCTGATGGTGGCGGGAGCAGCAGAGAGAGACGTCAGGCCGATTCTTCCCTCCCAAAGCCGTCCTTTGGGGTTACTCCTCTGGCCTCTGCTTCTCCCAGCCGGGAGTCCCTGAAAGTTTAGCAGACCTGCAGCCACCCCTGTTGGAAGCTCCTACAGGATGGACAGTTCTGTGTCGAATCCAGCTCTTAGCCCTGGGGTTGGGTTACTTCCTTTTCTTCTAGTTTGCTAGAGTTCTAGAGCTCCAGAGCCGAACAAGACCTTAGTTCACGGTTCTGAACCCGGGGTGGCCACAGCTCCCGGTGACAATGTGACGAAAGCTATGGATGCTGTTGTTAGGGAGGAAGGAGCGTGTGCATGCCCGCACAGCTGCTGCACACACAGACACTCTCCTGCATCTCTCCATATTTACCCTGGCTCCGCGCCATCTGCTTTGTGTTTCACAGATAAGCACCCCCAAGGCTCAGAGAAGGGGAGTGACTTGCCCAGTGTCACACTTCATGTAAATAAGTGTCAGAGCTTCCACTTTACCTCAGGTGTCCTGGCCCCAGAGAGGTGGGAGTTTCGTCCCCAAATGCAACTTTGGCTTTTTATCTCCTGCCAGATAGGAGCCTGGTTGTTCATTGGCTCCATGTTGATTCAAGTAGTTTGGGACAAGTGGCATCAGGTGAGGAGCCGGGGAACAAGGCAGAAAGCAGGCAGCCCTTGCTCTTGCCCCGGGGGGACTGTCCTTGGGTGGGAGAGATGAAGAAGGCTGCTAATGGTCACAGTGCCAGGGGTCGGGGAGGCAGGTCAGCCTGTCACGGGATGACAGCAGAGTGATTGGCAGAGAGAGGAAGTAGTGCTTCCGGAGGGGGCTGGAGCAGAGGTAGGGAAGGGAGAAGGCTGAGAGGAAGGAGTACCATGTACAAAGGTCCTGGGGTGGAGGGCGGTGGGAACTTCCCACAGAAGTTACAGACTTTCTGTGGCTGTTCTGGCTCCTTGTCTAGGCCATGAGCGTGGAGGTAGAATAAGATGGCAGCGTGACTCCTCAGCTTACAGATAGGGTGGCTTAGGAGGCCCAACCCATTCCCCGGCTCAGTTAGAGTATTTCACAGAAGCGTGTACAGACGCCCCACTAACTCAGACACTCGTATCTTTGTGCTCCACGTGTAGAGTTAGGAAACAGCCATTGGTATGCCTGTGATTCAGGGGGCTGAGGCAGGAGGACTGTGAGTGAAGGGATGGATTGGGTTATATAGTGAGACCCTGTTTCAGATAAGGGGGGGGGTTATCTGGGGATATGGCTTGGTCATAGAGGACTTGTCTAGGTATAGAAGACCCTGGGTTTCATCACGAGTTGGGGGAGGGGGAAGAAGAGAAGTTGAGTTTTCCAGCCCAGCACCCTGACGCTCTCCTTCCTGCCTCCTACGGCTCATTGATTTTTCCCTCAAAGGGATGTTCCCTGTCTTGCCTTCTGTTAGCACAGACCGGCCTGGTATAGGATGTCTCATGAATTGAATGGAGTGCTGAATTTTGTGCCTGCCTTATAACCCACACTATGGCCGTGGCTTTTATCCCTATTCTTGTACACGGCTGTAGATTGCTCCTTCTCCTGGCTGGGTGGTGTTCCGCCGTGTGAAGATACACGATTGATTTACCTAGTCCTCTATTGGCAGGCCTCAGGGGCTCTTTGTGACTACCTTCTCTGATTATTTTCATATGTGGCTTTTGGTGGTCATATGTTTGAATGCCTGCTGTGTACATGTATGACTCCATGTTGATGGTTTGTAGGAAGGCCCAACAAGAATCAGGGGGCTCTTTCTATA